ATTTAAAATAACTAAATTAGGTTAAAGACAATCAAAGGGGCTTGCCATACATGCTTGTTTGTTTCACCATACCATCTCATTTGCTTTCTGACAAGGAGAGTGGTTAGAGAAGGTGAGCCTGTGATTGGAAGGTTGTAGGTTCAATTATTCCCCGGACCGACCAGCCCCACTCTTAGCCCATGAGTCATTTTTTAAAGCCCTCAGCTGCTTCCCTGGGCGCCTCAAAAATGGCAGCCCACTTCTTCCACGTGTGTGCTCACATGTGTGATGGACAAAATGCAGAGAATTATTTTCCCCACTAGTGGGGTTGATAAATCCACTGAGCCTTCAACGTAGCGCATCTTCAGAAGACAAGCTGATAAAATAAATTTAAAACATCTGTATTCTTCAATACAAGTGTGTATTGAACCTTAAACACTGTATTGAATGGTTCCATACAGATACATGTATTGTTGAGCCCCTTTTTTATATATACATGTATATATGTCTATGCAAATGACAAAAAGACAACACAACCACTTTAAACATTTTTTATTTACAACTGTATTCCTTTCTCTCTCTTCGTTCACCATTACAAGAAAAAAAAAACAATCACCAACTCAGGGAGTAGTTCTGTTGGCAATGCATGTTGTGAGAGGCAGGGTCAGCTGAGAAGTGTCCACCTGTGGTGGGGACAGCAGTCTATCTGCGTTGCCTGATGATGGATTCTGAGTGTTGTTCAGTAAAAATTAAGAGTGTGCGCCATTCATGTTGAAAGTTGGTGTATGGACATAGTTTTAAAGATGTAAACTCACAAAAAATTAAGATTAATGAAACGATAAAACATAAAACATCCCAATTTACGGGCAGTAGAGTGAAGCTGTTCATTCCACTTGGACCATGTCACAAGTTACTTGGGAAGCTGGAAGAACATCGTAGGGCAGATCTGCCACCTCAAAGGCTTGAATCTTGCCCTTCTTTTATATATGTGGAGCTAGATGTATTTGGGCCGTGGTGTGTCACAACCAGGCATACCAGAGGACAAGCAGAAAGCAAAAGGTGGGCCATCATGTTCAGTTGTTTAAGTTCAATGCCGTAAGTTCATTTATATCATTGTAAGAAAGTTACCGTAAATATTATTTATTGCAGATTATTTGTTAAACGTAGAACTAAGTTAGTTAAAAATATGTTTGCTTAAAGGCACAGTGTGTAGGATTTGTTGTTTTCAGCGACATCTAGTGGTTGAGTGGTTGAATCATCCTCCCTGGTCCTCCCCCCACCCCCACCCC